GGGGGGGAAGATGGGCCAGGGTCGGGAAGCGTGTGTGGTGGGGGAAGAACAGGGGGGCAGATGGGCCAGGTATTTGCGGTGTCACACGGTATTCGGGGGAACGGTACAGGCTGCTGCAGTTCAGTGTTAATGCTGGTATGGCCACATACACGACACCATCTATACGGTCACCATAAATGGTACCACACTTAACCAGTGGCACTGAATTATAGTTACGGCCTCAAGGCCTGTGGTATGAGTTCCGGTACTGGAACTGCTTCGCAGAAACTGCTCGCCCTGTTGCTGGTACCGCTGGGCATTCTTGGGCTGCAATGGTACCACCGTTATTGATGACTTGTGAGCCTGGGGCCGGCGGCCTCTAGTACCATGGGATATAGGGCGGAGCAGCGGAGTACAGGGGGACACATTCGGCAGTAGGGGAGACCATAGGGAACACAGCGCTCGAGCAGGGAAGGACACCGACGCAGCGACTGTGTCTCAGTGGGAAGATGATGTCAACAGCTGGCACGTCCATGGGCATGGAGGAGAGAGAGAAGAGCGAGGTGTCCAAGGGGAAATTGGGACTGAGGCGACCACGATGACCAGGGTCTGATGCGCAGTGTTTCTCATCCGTGACTCTTTGTGGCAGAGAGCAAACGGGCACTACTATCAGAGGTACGGGGAGAGTGAATGGACAGGGCTGGTTCGTGCCAGTTTGCAAGAGCGGGCTGCCGCCATGGCATCTTGCAGCTAAGAAGTACGTTAAGGACTGAACCCCGAGACGGGCTGGTCAACCAGGAGCGAGAACAAAGCCAGTGCAAGAGAGTGCCTACGGGATTGCGAGAAAATGGGTGAGAGAAGAGGATCAGTGCACGGTAACGCACGTGTGGGAGGCCAAGATAAGTGAAAAGACTGATATCGTCCCCAATTCCTGATTTTATTTTCTTCCATTTTATTTATTTATCAATTTTTCCTCTGATTTAGAAAGCTCGATTGATTACGTTTAAAGTCTAGTCTCCTAATTGGCTCACCGGGCGGGGGTAGTAGAGCGAGTTGGCCCAAGTAAGCGAAGGAGTAAAGGAAAGGGAGAGAGAGACTGCGTGTAAGAGAGAGAGAGAGAGAGGGAGTGAGGGAGAAAGGGGCTGCACAGCAGGAGAGAGAGACTGCGTGTGGGAGAGAGAGAGAGAGGGAGTGAGAGAGAAAGGTCTGCACAGCGGGAGAGAGGCACTGCACAGCGGGAAAGAGGCTGCGTGTGAGAGGGAGAAAGTGAGGGCGTAAGGGTGTGAGAGGAGCAGCTCGAGTATGGCGGCTATGACCCCGTGTGTGAGTGAGTGTTCATGAGTGGGGAAGAGTTACGGGCGCTCGTTAGATCGCAAGGTCGAGGGAGGAAGAGACTCTGTGAATGTGCTTGTGGGCAAGAAAGAGTGTTGGTTTACTAAAAATCGAGCCGATGATTGGCTTGCTGGTTTACTCTAAATAGAGCCTGTTGATTGGCTCGCTGGTTTACTCTAAATCGAGCGACTGATTGGCTCGCTGGTTTACTCTGAATAGAGTCTGTTGATTGGCTCGCTGGTTTACTCTGAATAGAGCCTGTTGATTGGCTTGTTGGTTTACTCTCAATAGAACCTGTTGATTGGCGCGCTGGTTTACTCTAAATCGAGCCGTTGATTGGCTCGCTGGTTTATTCTGAATAGAGCCCGTTGATTGGCTCGCTGGTTTACTCTAAATCGAGCCGTTGATTGACTCGCTGGTTTACTCTAAATCGAGACGCAGATTGGCTCGCTGGTTTACTCTGAATAGAGTCTGTTGATTGGCTTGCTAGTTTACTCTGAAGAGAGCATGTTGATTGGCTCGCTAGTTTACTCTAAATCGAACCACTGATTGGCTCGCTGGTTTACTCTGAATAGAGCCTGTTGATTGACTCGCTGGTTTACTCTAAATTGAACCGCTGATTGGCCTGCTGGTTTACTCTGAATAGAGCCTGTTGATTGGCTTGCTGGTTTACTCTGAATAAAGCTTGTTGATTGACTCGCTGGTTTACTCTAAATCGAGTCGATGATTGCCTCGCTGGTTTACTCTGAATAGAGTCTGTTGTTGCATACCGTAAAGGCGCAAAACAGAACAAGAACCGACCTCTCTTACAAAGTATAAGATAGCGTAGCGGAAGACTTAGATACCAATGATCCGAACAATCAATATTGCAATGCAGTCCCAACATACATCATCATCGTATCAGGGTGTGAAGAGGTATAGCGCTCACACATGAAGAATGCGCCGGTCCCCACCATCCACAAACGAAGAAGAAGGGAATAGACGAGTGGGGAGGAGAAGATGGGAGATGTCGTCAACAACAAGTCTGCGATACAAGTCCCAAATAATCCTCATTGAATGTCTAAATCCCAATGTTGAGTCTGAATCCAATGTCGTCGAGTCTCAAGTCACAACTCTCTCTCGCAGCCCATAGATACCGAGAAGTTAGGCAGCGAGAGGGTAAGGAAGAGGTGGTGGACTTAGAAAAGGAAGAAGGAGAACTCTCTCTCTCTCTCTCTCTCTCTCTCTCTCTCTCTCTCTCTCTCTCTCTCTCTCTCTCTCTCTCTCTCTCCAGTACTAACCTGTAAAGATGGCGCCTTGATGCAGGTACCTCGAACTTGGAGCTGGAGCGATGGCGCCACAGGTAAGTATCACTGGCCTCCTCCAGTCATCCCTCTCCCACACTACCACTACTGCGACCACTAGCGCCAGCGCTGAAAACTACTGCTATGGCTACTAGCGCCCTGCGCTGAAGACAACTGCTCCGCTAAACTGTTCCTGCAGCGCTCCTCCAGAGTGCTGCCCGAATCCACCTCCTGGCTCGTCGACT